AAACAAACAAACAAATAAATAAATAAAACCTTAACTACCACAGAAGGAATACAAAGAATCACTGTACCAAAAAGAATTGGTTGGCATTAAACCATTTCAGGAGGAAACATAGAATCAAGAATCATTGACACTGAGGGAAGAAATCCAAGCTACACTGAAGGAATTAGGGAGAAACAAGGCTCCAGGACTTGACAGAATAACATTTGAGACCTTTCAACAAATGGATACAATACTGGAAGCACTCACTCATTTATGCCAAGAAATTTGGAAGACAGCTACCTGGCCAACCAAATGGAAGAGATGCATATTTGTGCCCATTCCAAAGAAAGGTGATCCAAAAGAACACAGAAATTATCAAACAATATCATACACAAGTAAAATTATGCTGCAAATAAATCAAAAACAGTTGCAGCAGTACATCGATAGGGAACTGCAGAAATCCAAGCTGGATTCAGAAGAGGGTGTGGAATGAGGGATGTCAATACTGATGTATACAGTTCTTGGCTGAAAGCAGAGAACACCAGAAATATGTTTACCTGTGTCTTACTGACTATGCAAAGGCATTTGACTCTGGGGATGATAACAAATTATGGATAACATTGTGAAGAACGGGAATCCCAGAAAACTTAATCCTGCTCATCAGGAACCTGTACGTAGCCCAAGAAACAGCCATTTGAACAGAACAAGGGGATACTGCATGGTTTCAAATCAGGAAGGGAGTGCGTCAGGGTTGTATCCTTTCATGATACTTATTCAATCTGCATGCTGAGCAAATAATCCAAGAAGCTGGTCTATAAAAAGAACACAGCATCAGGATTGGAGAAAGACTCATTAACAACCTGTGATATGCAGATGACACCACCTTGCTTATTGAAAGTGAAGATGACTTGAAGCACTTACTGACAAAGATCAAAGGATACACTCTGCAGTATGGACTACACCTCAAGAGAAAGAAAATGAAAATCCTCACAACTGGACCTGTAAGCAACATCATGATAAATGGAGAAAAGATTGAAGTTGTCAGGGAGTTCACTTTACTTGGATCCTCAATCAATGCCCATGGAAGCAACAGTCAAGAGATCAAATGATGTACTGCATTGGACAAATCTGCTGCAAAGCAGCTCTTTAAAGTGTTAAAAAGCAAAGGTATCACTTTGAAGACTAAGATGCGCCTGTCCCAAGCCATGGTATTTTCAATCACCTCATATGCATATGAAAGAATGGACAGTGAACAAGGGGGAAAAACTGATGCATCTGAATAACAGTGTTGTCAAAAGCATCGAATGTACCGTGGACTGCAGGAAGAACGAACAAACCTTTCTTGCAAAAAGTGCAGCCAGAATGCTCCTTAGAAGCGAGGATGGCAAGACTTCATCTCACGTACTTTGGACACAATGATATCAGAAGGGACCAGTCCCTGGAGAAGGACATCACGCTGCGTAAAGTAGAGGGTCAGCGAAAAAGACCCTCAATGAGGCGGACTGACACAGCAGCTGCAACAATGGACCCAAACGTGGCGACGAGTGTGAATGACGCAGGACCAGGCAGGGTTTCGTTCTGTTGGACACAGGGTCACTACAAGTCGGAACAGTCTCAACGGCACCTAACAGTCACCGAGAAATAGAAACGTTCCCTTTCTTGCTCTGAGATGCACATGCCCTACACATCTACCACACGCCTTCTCGGTGCCAGGCCAGCCCCTAACACACAGCAATGAGGCTGGGGCACCTGGAGTCTCTGCTCGGACACGGGGCCCCTGCTCACCTTGCGATGATGACTTACGCTTTCTGGGAGAACTTCATGGCGGTGTGGATGGGGTAGCCGGTGGGGCCCATGACGCCGCAGCGGGCATTGCAGAGCAACAGCACACGTACCATTTCCTGCTTCCCCATCTGGCAGGCCAGGTGCAGTGGGGTGAGCCCTTGGTTGTTGACCTGGTTCAGGCCGGCCGACGCGCTCTTGCCTAGGAGCTGACAGCAGCACATCGAGGAGGGCTGGCGCCCACATGCCCAGAAGGCCCTGCACATCCCTCCCCTAACACCCACCATGGCAGTGTCTCTCTGGGGACAAATGGGCAAGGGACGGTGGGCTCCATGAGGACGCGGGTAAGAACTTAAAGAGCAGCAATAGAGCATGGAGCGGCTCTGGAGGCAGAAAGACACTGACTGAACTAGTGTGGACCGGGGGCTGCTCCATGACTGTGGTTTATCCAAAATATTTCCGAATGAACGCACAAGAGACTTATCAAGGCAGCTGCATCTAGGAATAGGTGCTGGGTTCTGGGTGGGAATGATAGTTGCATTTTATTGCACATTGTTCTATTTCAATTTTTTTCTGTGCATATATGTTATTGTCTTCAATTAAAAAATACTAGTGTTAAAAAAGAGAGCTGGGAACGTTTTGTTTCCTTGCTTTAGGCTGAACACTGTCTCCCTGACACTCATGTATGACCACTGTGCATCCGTGTGAGCCCAGGATCACCTTACAGGTGCTGGTGTCGAGGCCTGGGTAAGGCCAGCGCCCCCAACTCACAGCTCTGTGGTCCTCCGTGGGTGTAGCTCTGGCCTTGTTGAATCTCAGGGTCTTTGGTGAGGAGACAATAAGGACCGCCCCTACACACACACGCACGCGTGCACACACGCACGCACGCACACAGAATATGTGGACAGTTAACTAAACGAAAACACACAGGATGCTCAGGGCAGTGCCAGGCACAAGAGCAGCGCTGGAGGAAGGACAGCTAGGGCTTATGTGACCATCGGTCAGAGGCATGAGCGCGCTCGTGCACTGAGATCAGGGCACGAGGCACTGTGCTGAGCACTGGGTGGGTTCTCAGTACAGGGGCAGCATTCCCTTCCCAGAGCCTGCTAATGACATGGTGTAAATCCCTCCGTCCTGGGACAATGCAGCTCCATTCTGACCTCAAGAGAGGGCTGGACCCTTTACAAACTCTTCCAGTCCTGGGCAGTGAAATCGGGTTCAGTATTGAGTCTTTTCCTTCAACCCAGTTTATACGAAGTGGCCTCTCCTTCCCACCACTCCTACTCACCCACACACTTCTGTGACCAGTTCACTCTAGCAGGAGTGCCACTGGTGGAAGTGTTGAAGGAGCTGGTAGATTTGTCTGTTTTGAATTCTTATAAAAATTATGCCCAGGTCCCCCTGGACCATGAGCACCTCCAGGCGGGGGCTGAAATGAATGCACCCAGCAATACTAGGTGCTCTGGGAAAACCGAACTAACCACATTGACTGGATCTGGGCCTTGAGTTCAGTTTGCTGGGCTGATGACTTCCCAGGGTTGTCAGAGCCAAGTGATCAAGGACATGTATCCTCCACAAGCATGGGGAGGGAAGAACGGAGGAAGGGGCTCAGGACTCAAGGACCAAGGGAGGCCAGTGAGAGGCCCAGAGGCGACACCTGAGCCCAAGGGCCCGAGAGAACCATGGGCTTAGTGAGGTGGCGCCGGTGTGGGAGGCCCTGCCCCTCCACCCCTGCTTACCTGCAGCACCTGGGGGTTGTCACCCTGGACAGCGTAGTGAAAGGCCGTCTCTCCGTTGTTGTCGGTGACGTCCAGTTGGGCGTGGCAGTACTGCACCAGCTCCACCAGGGTCTCCCCATCTCCCTTGCGGCACGCCAGGTGCAGGGGCGTGCAGCCCTCCTCATTCTCGATGCTGTTGGCACAGCTGCAGCGGGCCGGGGAGATGAGCAGGTTATAAGGTGCCAGGTGGGACGGGACACTGAGCTGCCCAAATACAGAAGCAGGGATGGGGCTGGCGTTCTGACTCTCGGGTGGTGCTGAAGCTGGCACTCAAGCTCAGGCAGGTTAGGAAACTGCTTGCACTTGGTGTGACTGGTATCTGAGCACCTGACTGAGAGACACGCCCAGGGCCACACCGCTGTGAAGAAGACAGTGGGTGGCACAGAAGGACCACAGAGAGCTGAAATCTCACTACTTCAGGCGATTCACTTAACCTCTCAGGGCTTCGCTATCCTCCTCTAGAGGGGAATAAAAAGAAAATACAGCGCCTGCCATGCCTGCCTAGTGAGCAGACAGAACTGTCCACTGGAGATTAAATAGAGAACTGTCCACAGAGACTGCAGACCTCCACGCACAGGGGCATACCTGCAAACCGTAAAGTGCAATGAGTTTTGACATTTGGCCTTGGAGCTGCCTGGAGCAGAAAGCCAGAGGTGGCAAGATGAGTGGGAGCCCCGTGGCAGGGCCCGGGGCAGTGCCCTTACCAGGGGGCATGGCTGACGCATCTGTCAACTGAAGGAATGGGAGAGGTCGAGGATGTGATGCATCATCAGCCCAGCAAACTAAATTCAAGGCCCAGATCCAGTCAATGCGGTTAGCTCAGCTCTTCCAGAGCACCTACTACGTGTGGGTGCATCACACAAGGATGTGAAGGCCTTTTCGGCCCTCTGCGGTTGAGGGAACTTGCACAGGTCACAGACCCTCTCCTCAGATCATCCTCATGAGGGTGTTGTGAGGCTTAAACGTCCCCCTGGGCCTGAACCTTGGTCAGTCCTCAGAAGTGTCACATCTCTCAGTCATTCAGCACTCTTATGTCCTAACCCAGGGGCCATGCTGCTCCCTTCTAAATGACACTAGCCGGGCCACGCCTGGGCAGACTACGGGGAACTTAAGCAAGACTGAGGCTCCCCACCTCCCCACCCAGCCGCCGCCAGCCAGGCCCCGCCCACCTGACGACGCGACTGTGGTGGAAGCACTCGCGGATGCCCAGCTCCACCGCCAGGTGGGCCGCCGACCAGCTGGGGTGGTTGCGGATGAGGTCGGTGAGCTGCTGCAGGACCTCCACGTGCAGCACCTGGAGCGAGCTCTCGTAGAAGGGCGGCAGCTGGTTAGAGTACTGCTGGAAGTGCCCCAGCGCTTCGGCCTCCGTCTGCAGCTGGAAGAGCCTGCGAGCAGGGGCGGAGGAAGAAATAGAAATGAGGCGGACAGGGGCCTCGGCGTGCACCGCTGCGGGAAGCGGAAGCCTTGGGCCCCACCAGCGGGCCACCACCTGCTTCAGGCTGCGGCCCTGCCCCACCAGCGGGCCGCCACCTGCTTCAGGCTGTGGCCCTGCCCCACCAGCGCATCCACACACACATCTACGTCCTCGGGAGTCTGGGCTTCCTTTGCACTTGAAAAGAGTTCCTTTTCTTCTTTTGTACCGTTATGTGGTGCATTTCTATTTTATCAAGCCCTGGCCATATCCACTAATGTGACTCTCACCTCCGAGACCCCTGCTCAGCGATTCCATGTGACAGAGTAAAGCTGTCCCACGGGGTTTCCAGGGCTGTAATCTCTACAGAAGGAGCCCTGATGGCACAGTGGTTGGTCACTTGAGTTACTGGAAAGGTCGGCATTTGGAAGCCACCGGACAGCCGCTCCACAGGACAAAGATGTGGGAGTCGGATTCCGTAAGGCTTACAGCCTTGGAAACCCTGTAGGGTTGCTATGCGTGGGAATGACTCAATGGCAACGGGTTTGGGACGCTTTAAGGAAGCAGAGCGTCAGGTCTTTCTCCCACAGAAAGGATGGGTCAGACTGAGTAGGTTCAAACTGCCAGCCTTTTGCTTAGGAGCTGAGCACTTAACCATTGCGCCACCAGGGCCCTTTTTCCCTGGCATACAAAAAACAAACAAACAAACAAACTCACTACCTTCGACCCCCACTGGATTTTCTAGGGGGTAAATCTTCACAACAGTACATTGCCCCATCATCCTTCTGTGGAGCGGCTGGTGGCTTTGAATCTTCTGATCTGGTTAAGTCAAATACCTTAGGCACTGTACCACCAAAAGAGCTAAATAAGTGGTGTTCAAACTAAATATCCAACCACAGAATGTTACATAAACTAGTATAGCTATGTGATGGAATTTTGTGCAGTTGTTAAAATAAGATATAAAAAGAATGGAGAAATGTTTATTTTGTAATACTAAGTTACAAAAAGCAGGATACAAATGATATGTGATACAATGTGATCTAAACTTTTTTTTTTTTTTTAATGCAGAAAGAGAAGGAAATATATCAAAAGTGCTTGGTAGGATAAATTCTTTAAATTTAAATCTACCTCTGTATCTATTTTCAATTTTACCTACAATAGGTAGCTCTGGTAGCATAGTGCCTAAGGCATTTGACTGCTAACCAGAAGGCTGGTGGTTTCTACAATAAGTATGTATTATTTTTATAATCATAAAAAGTTGGTTCATTTTTTAAAGAGTCGGGTTTGATCCAAGTTCTGCATTCATGTTGCTGTGTGTCCCTGTAGAAATCCTTTACTTCTCTGAGTCCTGTGTGAAAACTGGGACTAATTACATCTGTCCTACCTGCCTCACAGAGTGGCTGTGAGGGCCAGATGATACGACCATGTAAAAGCACTTAAAAAACCCTAACGATATGTGGGGAGATGGTTACCTGAAGTTCTGACCAGCGTTTTCAATACACCAGAAGGTTTTGTCCTATACACCTTGACAAGGCCAGTAACCAGCCAGGGTCTGGAAGAGGCAGTGCCCAAAGAGCACCGGTCCCACAGGACTGGCTTCTCCTTCCACACGAGGAAGTGCAATTGTTTAACACTTACCTACTGAATGCCTGACCTGTGCCTGACACTGTTCTATATGGAGGGGTAAATAGTGAACAAAACAGACAAAACACACAGCCCTCTGATAGTCTCTCTCCTTATGGGGCAGGTCAACAAAATGAGTAAGGTGAAAAACCACCAAGTAAGGAAGTGCATTAAGTAGACCATCAGGTAATAAGTGCAAGAGAAAGAAAAGCAAACTAGGGGAGAAGGATATGGAAGGAAGCCAGTCTTCATTCTCCTTGTCTGGCTTTTCTTCATCTCCCCAACCTCTTAACATTGGAGTGCTCCTCATCAAATGTTACAGATATGGCAAACAGAAATCGAAAACTGACCATTCCTGGATTTAGCATCATTGAGATCATCAGTGGCCTTGGCAAGAGGACCTAGGGTGCAGTGGTGAGAACCAAACCTGACTGGAGTGAGTGAAAGAAAGAACCAAAACCAAAAACCAAACTCACTGCCATTGAGTCAGATCCTACTCACAGCGACTCCTCCTTGGGTTTCCGAGGCAGTATCACCATGGAAGTAGATTGTCCAACCTTCTGAGGAGTGGCTGGTGGGTTTGAACCGCCAGGCTTCTAGTTGGCAGTCACATACATGTCTTAGGCACTGCGTCACCAGAGCTCCCAAAGAAAGAACAAGAAGTGAGAAATTGGAGATAAAAAATATTGACCATGTTTCTGGGGCGTTTTGCTGCAGAGGAGAAGAAAGAGAGTGAGGTTTAAGAGAGAAATGGAATCAGCATTTGACTGCTGAGGGGATAGTTCACAAATGGCAAGCCAGATAAGGTGAACTGGACCACCATTGTAGTTATATTTGTGTGTCAGCTTGGCTGGGCCTGGTTGAGTGGCTGGGCAGCTGGATGTAGTATTCCCCATGACGAGACTGGTAATCAACTCCATGGTAGGATCTACTATGAGCAGCTGAGTAGCTGCCTTAGGGATGTGGTCTTCTTCCTGTATATAAGGAGAAGGCTTGGAGAACAGTCTCTAGCTTATGGCACACTTGGACCCTTTATGTAGCCATCTCGTTGTTCAGCAGCCTGCCATGCTCTACCAACCTTGGGACTTTCAATGGATTTGAATTAATGGCCTGCTGTGTGGTTTGGTAACATCGGGACTGTGCCCTTTTACTTGTCAGCCTTGGGCTTGTTAGTCTCAGCAGCCAACAGTTGAGTGAAGAAAAGCCTCTAGCTCTAGTGGGCTGGGAGCAGGAGGCAGAGTATATGCCCAAGGTTGAGGGGTTTCACACAGCCCCTAGAGCCTGGCACTTTGAACTCGGACTTAAGGCCTCCAAACTATAAGAAAAGAAACTCCTGTTTGTTCAAGCATCCCATTTGAGGTATTTTCTGTTAGAGCAGCACAGAGGTAACCAAAACAACCACCTATCAGAGACAACCAAAAATGCTAGACAAAATATGGAGGGCATCTACCTGCTTGAAGGCACTGGAATCAGGGAATAACAGACACTCAAGGAACTGAGCCCAGCACTTAGGGCTTCTGTGCCCTGAAAGGCTGGGAAAAGCAGCAGCACCATTACAAGCTTCAGGAAGCTCGGGGGACAGGAGTTGGGGTCCAGGGATCTGCAAAGGGGAAAGTTCTGAGGCACACCCATTACTTTGGGTTGAGACAATATGTGTGAACCATAAGTAGACAGACCCTCACAGGGACTGCAGCAAAATCTAAAATAAGTTCAGTTCCAGAAACTGGACTAAAGTTACCCTGACTGAGAATGTTCCCAAGTACCTGGGAGAAGCAAACACAAATCCTCTGTGGAGAAGGAAACACCAAACTAGGCTTCAAATTATTTCTAGAAGCTTTTTTTGTAATAAAAATGTCCACCACATAATCTAAAATACTCACACGTGAGAAGATAATGTGACATGAAAGAAAATCGACAAACAATATTCAAAAGAAACAGATCTCTGGGGCGGGAGTGGCTGCAAATATTGAAATTAACTGACAGAGACTTTACAGTATCTGTGATGACATCCATGAGGATAAAACAGAAGATTCACAATTTTGGCAGAGAACTTTAAACTATACACACAGCTTAGAGGCCGCTTTTCACTTGGGGGTAACTCTATTTGAAGGCCAGGGCCTGAGGTAGGCAAGCCCAGAGCTGGGTTCTGCTTTTCTCTTGGGGATGTCTCTATATTAAGGTCGGTCCTGAGGTAGGCAGGCCTGGGGCTTGGAGGCTGCTTTTTGCTTGGGTGTGGCTCTATACTAAGGCCTGAGGTAGGCAGGTGTGGAGGGGTTAGGAACAACTAAGGGAGACGAACTTGTCTGTTAGTTTGCTGTCTTGTGGTGGCTTGCATGTTGCTGTGAGGCTGAAGGCTATGCCACCCTGTTGCAAAGTGCCAGCAGGGCTACCATGGTGGGCAGGTTTCAGCAGAGCTTCCAGTCTAAGACAGACTCAGAAGAAGGAAGAGGCCATCTACTTCTCAAACAATTGGCCAGAAAACCTTATGAATAGCAGTGAAACACGGTCTTATATATTACTGGAAAACTTTATGAATAGCTCTGAAACATTGTCTGATACAATGCCAGAAGATGAGCCCATCAGGTTGGAAGGCACTTAAAATCTGACTGGGGAAGAGCTGACGCCTCAGAGTAGAGACAACCTTAGTGATACGGATAGAGCAAAGCTTTTGGGATCTCCATTGGCTGATGTGGCATGACTCAAAATGAGCAGAAACAGACATGGAGTGTATGAAGTATGAATCTAGGAAAATTGGAAGTTGTCAAAATGAAATGGAACGCATAAAGATGAATATCCTAGGCATTAGTGAGCTGAAATGGACTGGTTCGAGCCATTCTAAATAAGATAACCATATGTTCTCCTATGTTGGGAATAACAAAGAGGAATGGTGTGGCATTTATCATCACAAAGAGTGTTTCAAGATCTGTCCTGAAGTACAACACTGTCAGTGATAGGATAATATCCATACGCCTACAAGGAAGACCAGTTTATACTTCTATTATTCAAATTTACACACCAACCATCAAAGCCAAAGATGAGGAAATGGAAGATTTCTACCAACTTCTGCAGTCTAAAATTTACCAAACATGCACTCAAATGTGTTGATTATCACTGGTGACTGGAATGCAAAAGTCGGCAACGAAGAATCACTGGTAGTTGGAAAATACGGCCTTGTTGTTGTTGTTTGTTATGTGCTGTCGAGTCAGCCCCAACTCATAGCAACCCCTCCTTGGGTTTCTGAAGCAGTATCAATATGGAAGTAGATTGCCCAACCTTCCTTCCAAGGGTGGCTGGTGGGTTTGAACTGCCAGCCTTCTGGTTAGCAGTCAAGTGCCTTAGGCACTATATGGC